TTATAAATCATGTACATTGCTAAAATATATTTAAATTGTTACCATTGGCTCTTAACATCCATCCATCTATCCACCTGTCCACCACCCACCAATCCATTTACCATCCAACTGTCTATCTGTCCACCACCCATCCATCATCCATCTGTCCACCATGCATCCATTCATCTTTCCAACACTCATCCTTCATCCATTAGTCCTTCCATCCACCACACAGCCATCCATTCACCATCCATCCACCCATCCGTCCATCATCAAACTACCGTATTTTTTTCGCCGTATAAGATGCACCTGACCATAAGACGCACCTAGGTTTTAGAGGCAGAAAACAGGAAAAAAAAATTCTGAACTAATGGACTGCAGACATAGTACAGGGGATGACCAGAGACTGCGGACAGCACAGGGATGACCAGAGACTGACTGCGGACATAGTACAGGAGATGACCAGAGACTGCGGACACAGTACAGGAGATGACCAGAGACTGCAGACACAGTACAGGGGATGATGACCAGAGACTGCGGACAGCACAGGGATGACCAGAGACTGCGGACATAGTACAGGAGATGACCAGAGACTGTAGACACAGTACAGGAGATGACCAGAGACTGCAGACACAGTACAGGAGATGACCAGAGACTGCGGACACAGTACAGGAGATGACCAGAGAGACTGCGGACATAGTACAGGAGATGACCAGAGACTGCGGACACAGTACAGGAGATGACCAGAGACTGCAGACACAGTACAGGGGATGACCAGAGACTGCAGACACAGTACAGGAGATGACCAGAGACTGCGGACACAGTACAGGAGATGACCAGAGACTGCGGACACAGTACAGGAGATGACCAGAGACTGCGGACATAGTACAGGAGATGACCAGAGACTGCGGACACAGTACAGGAGATGACCAGAGACTGCAGACACAGTACAGGGGATGACCAGAGACTGCGGACACAGTACAGGAGATGACCGAAGACTGCGGACACAGTACAGGAGATGACCAGAGACTGCGGACATAGTACAGGAGATGATCAGAGACTGCGGACACAGTACAGGAGATGACCGGAGACTGCAGACACAGTACAGGAGATGACCAGAGACTGCGGACACAGTACAGGAGATGACCAGAGACTGCGGACACAGTACAGGAGATGACCGGAGACTGCAGACATAGTACAGGAGATGACCAGAGACTGCGGACACAGTACAGGAGATGACCAGAGACTGCGGACAGCACAGGGATGACCAGAGACTGCGGACACAGTACAGGAGATGACCAGAGACTGCTGCGACACAGTACAGGAGATGACCGGAGACTGCGGACACAGTACAGGAGATGACCAGAGACTGCAGACATAGTACAGGAGATGACCAGAGACTGCGGACACAGTACAGGAGATGACCAGAGACTGCAGACACAGTACAGGAGATGACCAGAGACTGCGGACACAGTACAGGAGATGACCAGAGACTGCAGACACAGTACAGGAGATGACCAGAGACTGCGGACACAGTACAGGAGATGACCAGAGACTGCGGACACAGTACAGGAGATGACCAGAGACTGCGGACATAGTACAGGAGATGACCAGAGACTGCAGACAGCACAGGGATGACCAGAGACTGCGGACACAGTACAGGAGATGACCAGAGACTGCAGACAGCACAGGGATGACCAGAGACTGCGGACACGGTACAGGAGACGACCAGAGACTGCGGACAGCACAGGGATGACCAGAGACTGCGGACAGTACAGATGACTGCTGACCTTTGGGGAGGGAGGGGGGGAGGTACCTGAATTTGACAGATACCCGCTCCCACTTCCGCAGAGTTGTTCTTTGATCTTACCTGTTCCTCTATCCACCCGTGCGCTGTCTTCCCGGCTTCTGTAATGGCGCTCGGCATGACAGCCGGGTGCCCAGTGCGCATGAGCGAGAAGCACTTGTGCTTTGTGATTGGTCCGGCGGCTTCTGGGATCTGTCATGTGTCCCAGGTACCGCCTTACCATTCACAAAATGCACCGCTTCTTGCGCATGCGCACTTGGCACCCAGCTGTCATGCCCAGTGCCCGCACTACAGAAGCCGGAAGACAGCGCGCCGCTGGATAGAGGAACAGGTAAGGTCCCGCTGCAGAGCTGAGCGGCCGGCCCGGTATTCTGACACGGCCGCGGTGGAAATACCGGACCGGCCGCTCCATATTCGCCTTATAAGACGCACTGACATTTCCCCCCCAGTTTTGGGGAAGAAAAAGTGCGTCTTATACGGCGAAAAATACGGTATGTATTTATCAATCCACTTATCCCTCCATCCTTCCATCTGCCATCTATCCATCCATCTGTCCACCACCCATCCATCTGTTCACCATGCATCCATTCATCTGTCCAACCCTCATCCTTCATCCATTATTCCATCCATCCAACACCCATCCATCTGTTCACCATGCATCCATTCATCTGTCCAACCCTCCATCCTTCATCCATTATTCCATCCATCCAACACCCATCCATTCTTCCACCTTCCATCCATGCACCATCCATCCACCATCCATCCTTCAATCTACCATCCATCCATCCGTCTATCCATCTACCATCCATCCTTCCATCTAACATCCATCCATCTAACATCCATCCATCCGTCCACCATCTGTCCTTCTACCACCCATAAATCCATCCATCCACCATACATCCATCAATCCACCATCCATCTACCATCCATCCATCTCTCCATCCTTCCATCATCCATACATTCATCCCTCCACCATCCATCCACCATCCATACATCCATCCATCCACTATCCATCCATCTGTTTGTCCATTCATCCATATTCATACAACTCTGCTGCACCATCACCCGCCTGTATTATTAGCTGATCTTATCTGTTGACAGATCCTGAGAAAAATTGTGAGTGACTGTCTGACCACCACAGAAACCAAACAACACAGATCCATCACAATCCCAGCCATCGGAACGGGGATTCTGGGATTTCCCAGGAATACTGCGGCTGCCTTAATGTTCGAGGAAATTCTCGAGTTCAGCAGCAAAAATCAACTCCAATATCTGAAACAAGTGGATCTCATGCTGCACCCGAGTGACACAGAAAATATAAAGGTAATGAAGAGTTTTCATGGGATTGTAGTTAGAAGAGTGAAGTAACAGAAAGTTGTGCGATTTTATGGTTCTCCACTTTAATGAGAAAATCTCATCCGCTGTTGTTGGTTTCAGGCTTTTAACTCTGAGCTGGAGAAAAAGATCAACACTGGAGGACAGAAGAAAGAAGACAAACCCCAATGTAAGTAATATCCGTGCTATGTACAGGAACATCATAGACTCCTTACACTGCAGACATTGTGCCTCATTGTAATGATGGAATGTGCAAAGCCACCAATGGGTCCAAGTGTCCCGGACTGAATGTAGGTTGCTTCAATACATTTCAGCAGTAGGTTTTGTGGAATTGATTCCCAACAAAAACTCTGATAACTGTTTTTGGGGTCACGCAGGGTATATTTTTGGTCAAAACCAGTAACATATAATATTTATTCTTTAAAAATAAAGGCGCACAAAAACAGACTTCATAGTGAATCTGGATGATCTGGAATACAATAACGGGTGATTATCTCTTCCAATTGTGATCTGTTTTTTGTAGCTTTATTGGGGAATGTGAAAAGCCCGGCACAGGATGTCTATGAAATGAAGATCGGATCCCTCACCTACCAGGTGAAAACTGGAGATATAACAAAGGAAAAGTGTGACATCATTGTCAACTCCACCAATAACACGTTCAACCTCAAATCAGGTATTCACTAGAATGTTGCTGGGACCATGAAATGTGAAAATCTTTTTGAGAACTGTGAGATGATCAGAACAACCTCACCAAAAGAACACACACAGCAGAGCCTACAGTACAACCCATTCAGCCATTGAGTATTTTCATACCATATGGAGGGTATGTTGGAGGTTTGTTATCCTGGTGGTGGGTGTAATCAGAAAGGTAGATAAAAGGTGAGAAGCAGAGTATGTTCTACCTTATGGAGGGTCATGTTGGGGGTTGTGACATCCTGGTGGTGAGTGTAATCAGAAAAGTAGAGAGAGAAGGTCAGGAACAGAGAGTATGTTCTACCTTATGGAGGGTCATGTTGGGGTTGTGACATCCTGGTGGTAAGTGTAATCACAAGGCTAGTGAGAAGGTCAGAGGCAGAGTATGTTCTCCCTTATGGAGGGTCATGTTGGAGTTGTGACATCCTGGTGGTGAGCGTAATCAGAAAGGTAGAGAGAAGGTCACAACCAGAGTATGTTGTACCTTTTGAAGGGTCATGTTGGAGTTGTGACATCCTGGTGGTGAGTATAATCCCAAGGCTAGAGAGAAGGTCAGAGGCAGAATAAGTCCTACTTTATGGAGGATCATGTTGGAGGTGTGAAATTCCAGATGTGAATGCAATTGGAAAAGGTAGAGAGAAGGCCAGGAGCAGATTATCTTCTATAATATAAAGGGTCATGATGGAGGATGTGACATCCTGGTGGTGAGCGTAATCAGAAAGGTAGATAGAAGGTCAGGAGCAGAGTATGTTCTGCCTTATAGAGAGGATCATCTTGAAGGATATGATATCTCAGTGGTGAGTGTACTTAGAAAGGTGAAGGGATGAATATGTTCTATGCTATTGGGGGGTCACGGCAAAGGTATGATATCCTGGTGGTTAGTGCAATTAGAAAGGAAGAGAGAAGACCAGGAGTAGAGTATGTTCTACCTCATGGAGGGTCATGTTGGAGATTTGATATCCAGGTGGAGAGGTCTGTTTGACATCAGTTATCTCCAATAACAGTCTCTCCCATAGGACCCTTTATTCACAGACAAATGTAATCCATCATGCTTGAAGGAAATAAATTAGTATTTCTCGGCTTCAGTTGAACAAATCCCGAATTTCATTTTGACAATTAGAAGCTGATATGTTGTGTTGTTGCAGGAGTTTCTAAAGCCATCCTGGAAGGAGCGGGGCCTCAGATAGAAAGTGAATGTGCCAGGCTCGGTAAGAAATTTTATGAAGAATTTATTACATGTGGACAGAGAACCAGATAGAGAGCATGTGACCTATAATATATGAAACAAAACGTGAAAGCTTTGGTAAATAATTCATACAGAAATGTAGATCTCGTGACAAGGAACCAATCCAGGAAATTTGATGATGGCCGTACAATAAGTTAAATAGAGAAAAGAAAGTAATTATTTTAATAGGAAACAGGAATTGTATCTTCAGTTCAGAAGTTCTTAAATGTCATTGGTACACGGTACAGCCACCAGATCTGATCCATGTTCCATCCAATATACAACTGATCTGAAGCACATGTTCAGAGTTGGCGGCCTGTTTCACTTTTTTTCACCCCAAGTCCCACCATGCCATTTGATCTTGAGTTTAGTTCTTCCTTGAGGAACATGGGACCATTTCATCTTTGGCAGAAAGAGATTTTATGATACAAAACCAATATCAATTCAAAACTTAATTTTTTTAGGAAAGACAACATTTTTAAGTGTTGGAAATGAGCCCAGTTTAAATTGAAAATGAACTGTGAATGCAGCAATTTCCCCCTCCTTACTCTTCAATTTGGCCATAAATTCTCACCATTTAGCACTTTTGGGTCCCTCCAATCTCTTTTTCATTACAGCCGCCATACAGGCCAGGATCTGCATGAAGCAGAGGTTCTGATTGGCTGCTCAGGTAAAGGTAGCTGGTAAAAGGGGTATCTTTTCCTCCTGGTACCTCCAGCAGCTAAGATACAATGAGTTCTATGAGGTTATGTTTTTATGTATGTGCTTTTCATCAATGATCCCAATATCCAAAGATAAACTCCTTCATCATTGCTCACAAAGTTTCCTTCTTTTTTTTTCCAGGAACCCAACCCAACAATGGGTACGTGGTGACGCTAGGAGGAAACCTTCACTGTAAAAATATAATACATATTTTTGGCCAAACTAAACCAGATTTAATAGGGAAGTGTGTAATGGATGCCCTGCACGTATGTGAGAGACAACAAGCAACCTCAGTGGCCTTCCCAGCCATGGGGACAGGTGAGAGATTCCCAGAGCTCCCGAGTTATCTGTGTCTGAAATAAAAGCTGTCTGCCATCTTGTCTCCCATAGCCATCCAACCGTATTTGTGTTCCACCTGTAATTTCCTAGGGCGGGTTTGGTTGAAATTTATTTTAGACAGTTTGGAAAGGAGAAATGTTTTTATTTCACAGTCTGGACACATTAGTGCATAGCAGAACCTGTGTGTGAAAAGGCGTTCATGATTTTTGTTGGCAGGAAAGAAAAGAGCAGCTTCAGTGGACTGGTGATCACAACTGGTGGCAGCAAGATGGACCGTTGATACCGGTAAGTACTAGTGTGTCTTAGGGGCTTTATTTACAATAAAAGACTTACATATTCAGTCTTAAAGGCCAACTCAAAAAAACTTAATAGTGACGACCCCACTCACAGGCAATATGCAAGTCTTTTTTTGTCAATAAAGCCCCTAAGACACACTAGTACTTACCTTAATCAATGGTCCATCTTGCTGCCAGCCAGTTGTGATGACCGGTCCTCTGAAGCTGCTCTGCACGGTGGTCTCTGACCAATCTTCTTTTCACTCCTCTCATTGACGTCATCACTCCAGTGCAGAACCAGAAACCACGTCATCAGGTAGGACATAGCGGCTGCTAGAGGTGCCCCACCAAACACAATACATACAGTATATAAATAGACAGATAATTACATTTACATGTTTTATTCTGCTTCATTGTTGTAATCCAGTATTGCTGTAGAAGTGATAGCATTACTTTACAATTGTTACAAGCAATGGAATCTGCAGTTTCATTTTAAAAATGTAAATTAATGCACTTAGAAAGCAAGAATTCTTCCATAGAACACAGTATTGGGGGTAAAGTGACAGAATTATAGAGAAATAAAGATTTGGGGGTTCTTAGTTAAGATATTTGTAGAATTATTATTATTATATTATTATACAGTACTTATAAAGTGCCGAATAGTTCGCTCAGCGCTGTACATTACAAAGGGGGACAGAACATGTGACAGAACAATACCAATACAATGCAAAACATGAGGGGATGGAGGGCCCTGCTCTTTCGAGCTTATCTAGAATGACCTAACAGTGTGGCCTAGCAGTGGGGAAAACAGAATTCTGGGGTTCCTCACTAAAGGGGTCACCGGCGGGAGAAGGAGGTCCCAATTCCTGTATATAGATCTATATATCACTAGAGGGGGGGTCACCGGCAGGAGGAAGGAGGTCCTGATTCCTCTATATAGATCTTTATATCACTAGAGGGGTCACCGGCAGGAAGAAGGAGGTCCTGATCCCTCTATATAGATCTTTATATCACTAGAGGGGTCACCGGCAGGAGGAAGGAGGTCCCGATTCCTCTATATAGATCTATATATCACTAGAGGGGTCACCGGCAGGAGGAAGGAGGTCCTGATTCCTCTATATAGATCCTATCACTAGAGGGGTCACCGGCAGGAGGAAGGAGGTCCTGATTCCTCTATATAGATCTATATATCACTAGAGGGGTCACCGGCAGGAGGAAGGAGGTCCTGATTCCTCTATATATAGATCTTTATATCACTAGAGGGGGGTCACCAGCAGGAGGAAGGAGGTCCTGATTCCTCTATATAGATCTATATATCACTAGAGGGGTCACCGGCAGGAGGAAGGAGGTCCTGACTCCTCTATATAGATCCTATCACTAGAGGGGTCACCGGCAGGAAGAAGGAGGTCCTGATTCCTCTATATAGATCTATATATCACTAGAGGGGTCACCAGGCAGGAGGAAGGAGGTCCTGACTCCTCTATATAGATCCTATCACTAGAGGGGTCTCCGGCAGGAGGAAGGAGGTCCCGATTCCTCTATATAGATATTTAGTTAGACCTCATTTAGAATACTGTATTCAATTCTGGAGACCTCAATTGTTAAGAGACAAAACAAGTCCAGAGATGGACAACAAAAATGGTGAAAGGTCTGAGGGACAAACATTTCAGGAGAGACTGTAGGAAGCTAATATATACAGCCTGGAGCCTGGAGGAAAGAAGGGAGAGGGAGAACAAGGCTGAATCCTGTCAATATATGAGGGTTCAGAAGGGCAGTATTTCCAACATGAAGCAGAGACAAAGAACATGACCGAGGAGAAGGAAAGTTCAAAAACTAATCAAGAATGATTATGGATGTGATAGCTGATTGTAGAAGCCACGTGTTTGTGGAACAATGGAGAGGAGGGTGAGGAAGTCCTCCATAATGTGTCCTCTTGGTCACTCTCTGCTCTTCTATCGCACTCTTTGTCCAGGCGCTGGCAATGTCTCCTCTGCAGATGTGGCCGATGCAATTCTAGACGCCGTGGTGGATTTTGTCAAATCTAATTCAGCCGTGACCATCCAAACACGTGACGATGGTGATATTCCAGCAAACCATGTTAAAAGATTTCCATGACAGCATGAAGAAGAAGGAGCCACAAGCTGCAGCCAAACAACAGTCCTGGTATTCTAGGATCACATGTAAGTGTCGGCGTTTTTTTCACATACTGCACCAATCAGTCTTTGATGTTCTTTGGATAAGGCTTCGGGTTCGACCATGGCCGGATCTGAGGGGGTGCTGGTTCCCTTGTGCCCCACCAAAGCCATCCGCTCCCCCCTAAGCCCTTTGTCCCATAAGGTCTGCGTGGGGGGCTGGCAAGGAGGCTGTACACACAGGCTACAACTAAGCCACTTTGTCACATTATGTTCACTTCTGTCACCAGCACGGTATAGCATTCTGTGCCGCCATGATGGTTCTTTGTCATTGTTTGCACCCTTTCACCTGTTTTTTTGCGTATGTTGTGTTTACACTCGGATGAGGGGCATACGTGTATTCATTATATATTTATTTTGTGCATTTTTATGTTTTTTTTTGTTCATGCACTAAAAGTAGCGCAACACCCATTCACTTTTTATTTGATTTCACTATTTTGCAATATAGTTAGGTGTTTGTGGCCACTTTTTTTGGGGGGTCATTGCAGTTAGGGAGGTAGTGCAGGAGGACCATCCTTTTACCGTCCTGTAGACATGTTATCCCCCCATATGGAGAAAAATATATTTGAAATATATTTTAAAAATATTCTTCTCAAATAGCTGTAAAAATGCTCTAACGTGGTAAAACGCTGTGAAACGCCGCAAACCTGTGTTTTTGGACTTTTTTTACCAAAACAAATAATTTTTTGGGTAAAAAAAAAAAACGAAACAAATGCTAAAATACACAAACGCAGGAAAAAGCAGCTAAACGCAGCTAAGTACAAATGCAAAAACACTAAAAGAAGCTGAAAAACTCATGTTTTTAATGTGACTTTACACAACTAACGTTACCAGCACCCCTCCACCCCTCCACCCCCCCCCCCCCCCCCCCCCCCCCCGGTGTGTAAGAGGACTTAGAGTTCAGCTAAGTAGCTAATGTCGGACATTCCGGAGGCCATCCTGCCAAACATGTGCGTTTTTTTCCTTCTTTGCCAAACGGCAGTTTGCGGAACTGCCCCGTTGACTTGAATGCAACAGTTTTACAGCCCGTCAGCTCAACATGCCGTGTTAAATTTGCCGCAGCATGTGAACAGCCTCAAGACTGTCCATAATTATAAAGGGTGCCTCAAGACCGTCCATAATTATAAAGGGTGCCTCAAGACCGTCCATAATTATAAAGGGTGCCTCAAGACTGTCCATAATTATAAAGGGTGCCTCAAGACCGTCCATAATTATAAAGGGTGCCTCAAGACCGTCCATAATTATAAAGGGTGCCTCAAGACCGTCCATAATTATAAAGGGTGCCTCACAGACCGTCCATAATTATAAAGGGTGCCTCAAGACCGTCCATAGTTATAAAGGGTGCCTCAAGACTGTCCATAATTATAAAGGGTGCCTCAAGACTGTCCATAATTATAAAGGGTGCCTCAAGACTGTCCATAATTATAAAGGGTGCCTCAAGACTGTCCATAATTATAAAGGGTGCCTCGGGACTGTCCATAATTATAAAGGGTGCCTCGGGACCGTCCATAATTATAAAGGGTGCCTCGGGACTGTCCATAATTATAAAGGGTGCCTCAAGACTGTCCATAATTATAAAGGGTGCCTCAAGACTGTCCATAATTATAAAGGGTGCCTCAAGACTGTCCATAATTATAAAGGGTGCCTTGGGACTGTCCATAATTATAAAGGGTGCCTCGGGACCGTCCATAATTATAAAGGGTGCCTCAAGACTGTCCATAATTATAAAGGGTGCCTCAAGACTGTCCATAATTATAAAGGGTGCCTCAAGACCGTCCATAATTATAAAGGGTGCCTCAAGACTGTCCGTAATTATAAAGGGTGCCTCGGGACCGTCCATAATTATAAAGGGTGCCTCAAGACTGTCCATAATTATAAAGGGTGCCTCAAGACTGTCCATAATTATAAAGGGTGCCTCAAGACTGTCCGTAATTATAAAGGGTGCCTCGGGACCGTCCATAATTATAAAGGGTGCCTCAAGACCGTCCATAATTATAAAGGGTGCCTCGGGACCATCCATCATTATAAAGGGTGCCTCGGGACCATCCATCATTATAAAGGGTGCCTCGGGACTGTCCATAATTATAAAGGGTGCCTCGGGACCATCCACAATTATAAAGGGTGCCTCGGGACCATCCATAATTATAAAGGGTGCCTCGGGACTGTCCATAATTATAAAGGGGGCCTCGGGACCGTCCATAATTATAAAGGGTGCCTCAAGACTGTCCATCATTATAAAGAGTGCCTCGGGACTGTCCATAATAATAAAAAGGGTGCCTTGGGACTATCCATAATTATAAAGGGTGCCTCAAAACTGTCCATAATTATAAAGGGTCCCTTGGGACTGTCCATGATTATAAACAGGGGCCTCGGGACTGTCCATAATTATAAAGGGGGCCTCGGGACCGTCCATAATTATAAAGGGTGCCTCAAGTCTAATTTTAGAATGTGCCTTGACTGAAAAAAGGTTGAGAAACACTGATCTAGACTACAGAAACGTTTCCCTCACTTCCTTTACCATTGACAATGTTGTATCAGGCAGGAGGTCTTCCTTTATGTATCGCTGTCCTTCTACATGGCGCACAAATTCTGTAAATATTCTTCACCTTCTCTTTATAACAGCTTTTCTTGGTATGACCCAACCCGACAAAAAGGACATCAAGGAAGAGGAAGAAGAAGAAGAAGAAGAACTCAAAGTTTTCGAGCTGAGAGAAAACATCGATCCGGCCATTTTCCACCTGTGTGCAGAAAGCCCCAAATCTGTGAAAGCGGCCTCAGACTGGCTCCAAGACCTCATAACAAAGGACCAGCATGACAATACTATCACAGATAACTGGATACAGGACTTAGATGATAAGGACCATGGTGACCTGGCTCAGGTTCAAAGAGACAATGGAGTTTCTATTAATATTGACTCAACACAGTCCACTATTAAGGTGACGGGCCGCACCAAGGATGTCCTGAAGGTCAGTAATAAAATCCAGGAGATGATAAAGGGTGTGCGAGATAAGAAGACGCAAGAACGAGAGGCGGAGCTGTGCAGTAACGTGGTGGAGTGGGGATATTACCAAGGCACCAACTTTATTCCCTTCGACAAAATGACAAACCTAAAGCTGGAAAAGGCTTATGCTGACAAGATAAGTTCTATGGATATTGATATCGGCGGTGTAAAACACAAGGCAATTATAGAGCTGAAAACCGCAAGGGATGCCAAAGGAACCACGATCAATCTTCAACGTAATCCAAAAAATGGTAAATTCCATTCTTTGTTGTTCATATCCTTATCAATCATCAAATAAATATAGTTAGTTAGTATTGGACAGCTCCAGCTAACAGAAATATAAATGGATTGACAGCCTTGGGAGTCCTCGTAGGTTACAGTGGTGAGGGCTCTTTATTCTGTATTACTCTGGAGAGATGTTTTCAGGCTGAGAACCAATCTGGAAGTCTAAGATACAGTGCAATGCAGACCCCCCGACATGTATCCCTAGACATGACATGGCAGTCTCCCAATACTCCTGACTGGAATGGGCTAGAATTGAATGTCTAAAGGTCAGCTCCTGACAGTCCTGACTGACTTATCTTGGGGGACAAAGTGATTGGACAGGTTAGAAAATATTGATTTATCCAAGGCCAAGGACAGGACTGTATGTATGTGCTCCCCCCTGCTTCCCCCAATGCCAAGCCAGGAATGTTGGGTGACTAACCTATCCTGTATGGGGGAGCCCCCAGGCCAAAGACACCATGAGACAGAATGTATGACCTGCATGTTCGATTGTACTCTGATGTCTACAGCCAGTCCACAGACACCTCTACTCCAATGATCCACCATCCTTCTCACTTTCAACGTTCTGCTGAGAGCAAAGGCCTACACCCATCTCCTTTCACTTTCATGATGTGCCAGGTCTAAACATGCTTGGCAATTCTGCTTGAACTAAGTACTAACATGTCTGCAGGAAAAGGCAGGGCTTGAAAATGGAAGAATGTCACCTGACACGAGTGGCAAGAGGTCTTCCAATTTCTTGTGGCTGTCTCCCCATTTATGAGCCTCCACATCTGGCAGTGTGAATACTGGAGCTGGGACAACCCAAACCCAACACCTCGCATGGCTGCCTGCCTCGTGTGGCACAATCTAGACAGACTTAGCTCCATATAAAGGCCAAAACAACCATGTTGCAGTAGAGCACCTGTGAGTGGCATTAGGCAAGGGTCTGCTCAACGATGCCACTCAACATGCTGACTGGTAGGAGTCTGGACGGGTGGACCCCTGCCACTCAGCAATGAGAGGACATACCAACTAGACTTAAAGTAAACCTGACACAAAATAGGCACAAAATAACCTCATTTAACAGCAGGCATTGCACAGGAACAGGCAGTGGTGTATTCAGGTTTTGTGCGGCCCTAGGCAAAACAAAAATCCTCTGCCCCCACAGACACCAACCAACACCACCCCCCTCTTCCCCCTCCCATGGAGAGAGTCTGACATCGAACAACAACACCCCTGCCCCCCATCTGGGAGAGCTTTCCATAACCCCTTATCCCTGGCGATAGAGAGAAAGACACTCATCTTCACAGCTCCAGACATCCCTGGGAACTAAAGTCAGGTTCTACATACACCATCAAGCAGCCTGGCCGCCTCTATCGGATCCACCTGGTTCCCATGGTACGCGTGTCCTTTCTTTCATCCCTTCTTCTGGGGGAAGGTGCTGCCCCCCTGAAAAATGCCGCCCTAGGCAAGTGCCTTGTTTTCCTTGTGGTAAATACGCCCCTGGGAACAGGAGTACAGTTTTCTACAGAAATATCATCATCCATGTGATTCTTCTGCTGTTGAACAAGAGAGAATCCAGATCATTGGAAATGGAGGACGCAATCTGTTTACTGCAGGAGAAAAGAAGAAGCCGGTCCCATCTCCGGTACATTCCCCTGCTAAACCAAGGATTTTCTCTTGTCCAACAGTATCTGGTCCTGATGAAAGTTAGACCCCTGGAACACATTGGATGTTTTTACTTTGCCTAATAAATTACTTCTGGATATCAATACTCTCCTTCCTGTACTTCCCAAACGAATCCATCCATGGTGGAGGTCTAGGTCAGTAGGATGACTGAGGGAGGTGTGTAATGAGGTCTGCAGGGTGTGACAATCATGGTGGTCTCTTGGTCTCTGAGATTCCTATCAATGTACACTGATGGGTGATAATTATGTTCTACAATGAAACAAAAATGTAACTCTTCATATTACAGAAGAGTCCCTCGTAATCCCTCCATATTGGGATTCCATGGACAACATCCAGCTGAAGGTGGTACCGCTGAGCAGCAGCAGCCCGGAGTACTCAGAGGTGGAGGGACTCTTTACACAGACGTGTCAAATGAGAATCATTAAGGTAATACTGAAGGGCAAACTCCATGCTTTTTAGACACAATTCCCTCCACATCACATATGCAGATTACAAGGATCATAGCAAAATCGAATACGCATTCCCTCCCGCTTCTGTAATGGAAATAACGAGACATGATGGCTAAGTAGAAAAAAAAAAAAAGATGTAAGCCAATCACATGAGCAGGGGGATGAGGACAGTGTACATTTGCTATGGTTGCAAAAGGAGCATTTTTATGGCAGTCATATAAAATCATAGCTGCTGCAAAAAAAAAAAAAAAAATGGCAAGGTTACTTCTGAAAAAAATGGGCTTGTGTAATAATTATATATTACAGGAGTACCTCGGGGTACGAACGCCTCGGTTCTTGGAATTTTAGGTTTACAAATGAAAATCCATTTAAAATAACCCCTCGGTTTACAAATTTTTTACAATTTTTTTCGCCGATTTTTAAATGCAATTGCCGGCTTTTTTTTTTTTCTTCACTATAGCTCACAGAATTAGCTGTCACTTTCCCCGGAGCTAAAGGAAACTTTGTTTCTTTTATCTCAGTAAACAAACTGAAAGGAAACTGAATGGAGTTCAGTGAAGGGATTGGCAAAGAGGGGTGGAGGACACTGAGTGGAGACCAGTGGAGTGATTGGCAGAGAGGGGTGGCACTGAATGAGAGTGTGGAGTGATTGGCAGAGAGGGGTGGAGGACACTGAATGGAGTGATTGGCAGAGAGGGGTGGAGGACCTGAATGGAAGCCAGTGGAGGGATTGGAAGAGAGGTTTGGAGGAGACTGAATGGAGGCCAGTGGAGGGATTGGAAGAGAGGTTTGGAGGACACTGAGAGGAGGCCAGTGGAGGGATTGGCAGAGAGGGGTGGAGGACACTGAGTGGAAGCCAGTGGAGGGATTGGAAGAGAGGTTTGGAGGAGACTGAATGGAGGCCAGTGGAGGGATTGGCAGAAAGGGTTAAGGACACTGAATGGAAGCCAGTGAAGGGATTGACAGAGAGGGGTGGAGGACACTGAATGGAGGCCAGTGGAGGTATTGGCAGAGAGGGGTGAAGAACACTGAATGGAGGCCAGTGGAGGGATTGGCAGAGAAGGGTGGAGGACACTAAATGGAGGTCAGTGGAGGGATTAGCAGAGACTGGTGGAGGACGCTGAATGGAGGCCAGTGGAGGGATTGGCAAAGAGGGGTTAAGGACACTGAGCAGTTGATAAATTAGATGAGTCTGGCAGCAGCATTCATAGACTGAAGAGGGGAAAGCCTGCAATGAGGTCGACCTATGAGAAGGTAGTTTCAATAGTCAAGGCGAGAGATAACAAGGGAGACAATGAGGAACTTGGTGGTTTCATTAGTTAAAAATTAGCCAATTTTAGAGACGTTACGGAGGTGAAGTCTACAAACTGTTGACAGTTATTAAATTTGGGTCTGAAATTAAATAAAGGAACTCATATACTAAATATCATTACAGGTATACCCCATCCGGGTAGTAGAATAGATATTTTTTACTAAAGTGGCCGTTTAATTCAGGGAGAGAAGGTGCAGGAGATAATGGAAGTCCTGCTAGGTGCACCTTGTAGAAAATCTCCTGTGGACACCCATGATTAGTTCACATCTGTTCTTTTCCCCCTGGAAGCACCTCAGTAGTGTCACCCCCCCATCCAGCATAGTGTAGATCCCTCCAGTTAGATCCCATACAGTGCAGGAGAAGACCTTTCACATCTGATTTTCTAAGTTATGAGATGAAATTGGTGTGAACGCTCTTCCGGCTGAATGGATTGGGGAACATTAATGGTGATTTTGTCCAAAACTTATCAGCAATTTTATTTCTATTTCCTCCCAGATTGAAAGAATACAGAACAAACAATTGTATCAAAATTACCAAATTAAGAAGAGCAGTATCGATACCAAAAACGGTACCAGGACCAATGAGAAGAGGATCTTCCATGGCACCGAGAGCGGGACAGCCGATAATATAAATCACTATGGGTTCAACAGATCCTACGCCGGGAGAAATGGTGAGAAGAGACCTCCCCCTCCCCCTTCCCATAACCAAACTGCAAAAAGTATGATATCATTGGGGCAGTATAATACCTGTTTGATTCTGTGGTATTCTGGGTTCAATTCTCAGCAAGGCTATAATATATCTGCATGGAGTTTGTTTGCTTTGTGATATTTGGGGGTCTGGATCACTAGCCAGCTGTTTTGTTAAAGTGAACAGTTGTTATTTCTTTTAAAAACAGGCAAACAAAACTAGTTTTTCTTCAGCATAGATCAAACAAAATGGTCCACCAACCTCAGGTACAAAGCAAAACTTTGGCTCACCGCCAGCATAAACGTGTCCCATAACAGGGATTAGTGTCCCCGCTTGCTCCAGGGGTCTACAGAAAAAGTCACCACAGCTTAGCAGCGTCTTAGTAGCCGAACAGCACACAGCCGTCTCCCACAAGTGTGTCCTGCTCCACATCACTCCTCATGGACACCTGCTGGCTGTTTCCTTCCCTTTTCAGACCCTTCTTGCAGGCACGTTAATCTTATAAGGTTCAAAGTACCGGTAGACAGGGTTGGAGGCCCTTTTCCAACCAAAAACTCTTCGAGCCTCCAATGTCTGGGACCCATATGAGGACTTATTCAAATCGGCAAATCAGTTTTCCTGCTTTACGGATCACCCCAGGGGCCAAGATGCATTCACCCACATGGATGTCACATTGGGAGCAGCGACTGTGTCTGTGCAACCACTGCATTTAGCTAGAGCACTCCTGAGGTGATATCATGGGTGGGTTAGCGCCCCTATATAAGCCAGGTTGGGGGGAGTCTTAGAGCCGTTAAGCATGGGAACCAGAGACCCCACCAGCATGCAGATGTAGGCAGCTAAGTGGAGGCCCTGGACAGGGCTGGAGGAAAGGGCGAGGTAGTCCTGCACTCAGAAAAGCCAGCTGTTGTCATCCTGTCTCTTATGGGTGTGGGGGCTTGAACAGGTTGCAAAAGGCATTTTTAGGCCAGGCCAAGTGTTCCCTGAAGGGAGGCTATCCCCCGGAAGGACCTGGAAGAAGTACACTAAAGCAGAGGTGAACTGCCGTGATCCTGTCTTAGGAGCTAGCTGTGAGGAGTTGTGAGCTGGACACAGACGGCCTAAGGCAAGCCAGAGCCTTATGAGTGAGTACTAGTGGCCCTCGGATGGAGAGAGACTGTACAACGGAAGATGGTCTAATAGAAATATGCTGTGTGCTGCTTTCACATGTGACTGCTGCGGATCGTCCAGTATAGGTGATTGACAATGTACTGTCGAGTGACCCCCAGATAGTGTCTATGTGATTTGACGGTAAATGCCATCCTTGAAGTAGCATCAGTAAAATGCAACGACTTTCATGTGGACATTCCTTCCTTAGGATATAAAGGGTAATGGCTGGGAATGTCATGGGAGAAGGCCTCTGGCATGGAGATGGGCACAATATGGCGGAGGGCTAAGGCTTCAAGCAGGAGGGTCGTTGTTCTAGCAGGAAGGACTTGTAATCCTGGCACCAATCCACAGCCATTCACAAGCCCCCTTATATGCGTCCTAATTGGCAGCAATGGAACTGCCTGCAAGAGGGGATGCACGGAGCACATGTTCATCCCCATACGGGTAAACACCGTCCCCATGTGGGGTATGGACCAGGACCATCTTAACTGCATCATAGGCCCCTGGGCAAAGTAATGCAGAGGGGGCCCCTACCAACCTGCCCCGCACCTACTCTCAAGAATTAAAGTATAAATAGTTGATAGAAATTAAACATTTATGTATTTGTAGTTTCAATAAAATAGATTTTAAACAATAGGAAAGCATGCCATAAATCAAAAAATAATGAACACAAAGGGCAAAGTATGGGGTGGGGGAGGCAAAACGGGAGTTTGGGGAAGTCAGGAGGACACAATACTAGGATCAGGACTACACAGTACAGGTTCCAGGACACACCCGTGACACGGTCATCCCGGGGACAGCTTAGTAAAAAGCATGACTGTCCCGGCAAATGCGGGACAGTTGGCAAGTATGATGTAATGCAAGGTCATCATGGGGCCCCCATGCACCTGAGGCCCCTGGACAGTGCCCAGGGGTGCCCATGCATTAAAACAGCCCTGGTACGAACTCACACGCCGCATGGGGATGAGAGACCATAGAGGAGGTCTGTTGCAGAATAGAGAGCAGAATGGTTAAAGTGGGGAGGGTTTCTATAAGTAAATGTTCGGGGGTTGGAGGGAAAGGAGGTGGATGACAGGGAGAGGGTGGAGCTAATAAGGTGGTGATCAGTGAGAGGAAAAGGATTGTGGGAGAAGGTTGCATGGAGTGCAGAGGAAGGAGAATATCAGGTCAAGTAGAAGCTCCATGTTTCCATGGTGTTAGGTCACACGAGGAGGTTAGGCTGAGAAGTTTAGAAGTAGCTGGAGGTAATAATAGGGATTTATTATATCTCAGACATGACATGCAGTATCTCCCAGAAGTGAGCCCCCCCCCCCCCCCCTCACATTTGTGTAAATTTGATTCTCTCTTTCCATGTGACAACACTGAAGAAATGACACTTTGCTACAATGTGACGTAGTCAATGTACAGCTTGTATAACATGTAGATTTGCTGTCCCCTCAAAATAACTCAACACACACCGCCATTAATGTCTAAACTGCCGGCAACAAAAGTGAGTCCCCCCCCGAAGTGACAAGGTCCAAATTGGGCCCAAAGTGTCAAAATTTTGTGTGGCCACCATTATTTTCCAGCACTGCCTTCACCCTCTTGGGCATGGAGGTCACCAGAGCTTCACAGGTTGCCACTGGAGTCCTCTCCACTCCTCCATGATGTCATCACGGAGCTGGTGGATGTTAGAGACCTTGCTCTCCTCCACCTTCCGTTTGAGGAGGTCCCACAGATGCTCAATAGGGTTTAGGTCTGGAGACACGCTTGGCCAGTCCATCACCTTTACCCTCAGCTTCTTTAGCAAGGCAGTGGTGGTCTTGGAGGTGTGTTTGGGGTCATTATGTTGGAATATTGCCCTGCGGCCCAGTCTCCGAAGGGAGGGGATCATACTCTGCTTCAGTATGTCACAGTACATGTTGGCATTCATGGTTCCCTCAATGAACTGTAGCCCCCCAGTGCCGGCAGCACTCATGTAGCCCCAGACCATGACACTCCCACCACCATGGGGCCCCAGACCATGACACCACCACCACCATGCGGCCCCAGACCATGACACCCCCACCACCATGCTTGACTGTAGGCAAGACACACTTGTCTTTGTACTCCTCACCTGGTTGCCGCCACACACGCCTGACACCATCTCAACCCAATCAGTTGATGTTGGTGTCATCAGACCACTCAGAGTGGGAATGTCCTACAATGTGAATGTCAGACCCCTCCATGATGGAGAAGTGGGAGAACTTGCAGAATCGCAGGGTGTTCAAATACTTCTGTTCCTCACTGTAGGTAGATATCCTGTATATTCCGTGTTCCCTCATATGTAGATATCCTGTATATTCCGTGTTCCCTCATATGTAGATATCCTGTATATTCCGTGTTGTATTTCTGATCTCAGGATAATCATTTCCTTTCTCTTTCTATGAGTCCAGCTGCGAAGTTGGGAAGAGGGACGTACTTCGCTGTTGATGCCATTTACTCTGCGGATGACACGTACTCCAAACCGGATACAAATGGATACAAATACATGTACCTGGCCCGTGTCCTCACCGGTGTGTACTGTGTTGGGAATGAAGCAATGGTTTTCACCTCCACCCAAGAGCCCATCGAACCCCACCGACCTGTATGACAGCGTCACAGACAACGTATCAGGACCCTCGGTGTTCGTGATATTTAGTGACATCCAGGCCTATCCGGAATACCTCATCACCTTCACCAAGTGACCTCAGAGAGCACAACGAGGGCTATGGGGAAGTGTCAAGACTCTCAGCAGCTTCCCTGCGCAGCTCACGGCATCACCTGATTGGATCACTCCTCTTGGCGCACACTCTTTTTTTTTCTTGCGTGTCTTTCTACATTTTCTTTTAGTGCCTATTGGCTTCCTTGAAGGAACTCTTCTCATCAAGCAGAATCCCTCTCTGACCAGCTTCAGATGACACCGTCCAGCATTAAAATGAATCCGTATCCAGGCTATACAACAGCAATACAGAGTAGAGAAGGACAAAGCAAGAGCCTGGGCCAGCTTTGATTTTTCTCTCACTCTCTGTCTGGTGACACCATTGTCCGTAGGACAGGAAGTGAGGGAAATTCTCTTTAATGGAATTTCATATAGCATTAAAAACCTAACAGAGGTGCTATTCCATCCTCACTACCCAAAACACCAACAACAAAAATTGGCTTGACATACGCTTTCACTTTCAGGGGTCTACTGTTTATTTCCTGTGATCGTCCACTCCATCTACTGGTCATAATGTGGTATTTTCCCGAAATACCTCAATTAACTGCTTCTGGAGCGCTCTATAGCAGAACTACTGCTACTGGGCGGTAGGACTGCGCAAAATCACATATATATATGCGTGATTTTGCATCTCCGGTTAGGGGGCACGCATGCGCTGTCCTACCCGCGCTGCCATTGTCAGCTACAGGTGACGATCACTGGATCCCAGCTGGAGATTTCCCTATCGATGAAGAACACTGACAGGGGAGGGGTCGGTATGTAAACAACACAGGTCTCTCCCCTGTCAGCACCAACATGCCGCTTTGTATGGCTCTGCATAGCAGCATGTCTCCCTATAAAAAACACTGCCAGCACACAGGTAACCCTTTGATCCCCCCCATGTTAACCCCTTCCTGTCCAATGCAATTAGTACAGTGTTGGGGCTTTTTACTAGCACTGATCACTCTATTGGTGTCACTGGGGATGTCAGTGACACCAAGTCAGTTCCCCCCCCAGTGTCAGAATGCCCTCCACACTCCCGCTGATCACCGCCATTACTAGTACGAAAAAAAAAAATATCCCAGTATCTATCCCGCCATTTGTAAACGCTATAACTTTCACGTAAACCAATTAATTTACACGTATTGGGATATTTTTTTAGAAAAGACACGGAGCAGAATATATTTTGGCCAAAATTTATGACTAAATTTGATTTTTAAACTTTTTTTACTGCACATGTTTACAATGCTTCAGTTATGAATGAACACAGTGAGTGATTGGTAACAATCACCAAGTGGGTTCAACCAGTTCAATCAGATCTTATATGACTCCTAATCTTTCATACAGGGCTGCTATTAGAAACCAGGAGGCCCCATACAGCCAACCTGACAGCCCCCCCCCCCCCCCAAAAAAAAACAGTTTACAATACTTCAAGTTATGAATGAACACAGTGGGTGATCGGTAACAACCACTCGTGTTCATTCAGTTCAATCAGGTCTCATATGACTCTTAATCTTTCATACAGGGCTGCTATTAGAAACCATGGGGCCCAATACAGCCAACCTGTCAGCCCCCCCCCCCCCCCCCCCAAAAAAAAAACAGTTTACACGGATTCAGTTATGAATGAGCACAGTGAGTGATTGGTAACAATCACTCATTGTGTTCATTCCAGAAAGAAAGGGCTGGCAAATGTGACATATTTACTGGACCCTTCCCCCACTCTCCATCTTGAAGGATTCTATTGTGTGCTGCCTGTAGGAAGGAGAGGAGGGAACCCGGCAGCACTGCGGGGGTGGGGACACACGGGGGGGCTTGGGCAGTAGAGGGAAGCATACGGAGGGGGCACACGGGGGGCCTGGGCAGTAGAGGGAAGAATATGGGGGGGCTTTACTGGACCTGATTCCTTGCATGCCTCTCTCTGCAGCACCTGAAAGCAAACGGGAGGGGGAGGAGAAGAAGCCAACTATCAGCTGCTGCAGAGAGCCATAGAGGGGATCGGTCCCAATAATTTTCCCCCCTAGCATGCCAATCACCCTCCCTGCCCACATCTGTTTCACCCAGCTGCCTGGGCCCCCGTGCTGGCCTGGGTGGACAGGTGGCACCCCCTTATCCACAGACCTGCCTTCATTTATAACTTGGGGTACCCTACGGGGTCAGATACTCTTCCGATCCTCACACCGGGCTCTCACCTATGACTAGGGAGCAGGGGCAGACTGACAACTCATGGGGCCCCCGGGCAATACGGGATCATGGGGCCCCTGTGTCCTTGCCCAAACTCAAAAAACCCTATGAAAAAGGTACCAGGGGCATCTCATGGGGCCCCCTACTGACCTGAGTGCCCAAATTTCCAAATGGTCAGTCCGCTAGGGAGGCCACCTCATCCCCGTAAAACCGAAGACATATGAATGACACGGGTTCTGGGGACCATTTATTGCACATAAGGCACCACGTAAGTTTAATTACCGCCTTCGTCAGCCACAGAACCCGTGTCATTCATATGTGCGCGGGTCTACAGAGATGAGGTGGCCGAGGAGTCCCAGGGGTCTGAGGAACGAGAGTTGAATGGAACAGGAAAGGAAAAGCCGGAGAGAAAGAAAGAATGGAAAGAAGAGGAAGAGATGATCAGAGAGAAGTACAATAGATGTGGACTGGAGTGGTGGAAAGAAATGGGAAGGGGTACATGGACTGGGGTCAGTTGAGGGGTGGGTGGGGAGAAGGGAGGATGCAGGGAAAATGTTTGTGTTTTTTATGAATATGTTATACTGTTTTCCTATCTTTGTTTTCCTTTGTAATGAAAAATGTAATAAAAGATTCAAATAAATAAATAAAGGTATGAGGCCACCCAACTTATAATAAATCAAATGTTGCAGCGCTAACCTGTAAATAAACTATTAACCAAAATGATACTAATATAACTACATACGTGACAAAAAACGTGAACTTGATCCACTCTGGGATCTACAGTGAAAAAAAAGTGGTTGACCATAATAATCAGAAAGTGAAATCAAACAAGTCCAAATGGGACTAGGATAAAGTGAACAAAGCGAACTGATCCTACCCAGGGATCCAAAGTGACATCCACAAAACAGGGGTGGACTGACAACTCATGGGGCCCCCGGGCAATAGGGGATCATGGGGCCCCTGTGTCCTTGCCCAAACTCAAAAAAGCCTATGAAAAAGGTACCAGTGGCATCTCATGGGGCCCGCTACTGACCCCGGGCCCTCAGGCAGTGCCCGAGTTTTCAAATGGTAAGTCTGCACCTGACTGGGAGTGATCCTGGGGGATTGGGAGATGCAAGGTATGAGTGGGACCAGGGCAAGTTGTACAGGGTCTACGGGGGACCGGGGGTGGGCGCTGTCCAAATACCTCACCGGCAGATGGTAGTACCGAGGAAGTATCGGCGTGATCTCCTCCAGATTGCGCATGATATTCCCCTTGCTGGGTGTCACGATTGCGGCGTCAGACCCCCGACCTTCTCACCAACCTCGTGACCGAAGGACTGGCCGATCTAAAACTGCGATGTGACGCGCGTAACAATGCCACGCCCAGCTGCACCCTGCAAAGTTTCCAAATGGTCAGTCCGCCCCTGCCACAAAGTGATTGAGCGCGGCGACTTAAAAAGAAATATATCATGAATCCAAAAAAAAAAAGTCCAACTGAGACTGAAAATGTGAAAACACAGAATAAATAATGTGTCACAGATCCCTTAAGTTGGGATTAATGTCATTCAAACAAAACACAATCACAGTGACCAACGCTTGTCTAAAAAGAAATAAAAAATTCAAGTGACAGATAAGTGAATCCCTAATAGGGGACAAATCTCCTCTATAGAGGTGCGTGCTGTTAAATCTTCAAAACACTCTAGTGATAATATAAAAGATAATCATAGAAAACAGCACAATCCCTTAACTACCTGCCGACCGCAGATAGCCGAATGACGGCTTCACTGCGGCCGGCCAGTTCTGGGTGGACGTCATATGACGTCCCCCCAGAACGCGCTCTCCTGCGATCTCCGTGATCGCTGTGTCCTACAGACACAGCTGATCACGTGATGTGGTAAAAGGCCAATCACAGCGGCCTTTTACCACCTGATCAGTGGTGTCCAATGACACGCTGATCAGAGGGAAATGCAAGTGCCGGTTCTCGGCTGCACTTTCCTCACGCTGTCAGATCGTGAGGAAAGTACTGCCGAGAACCGGCAGTTGTCAGAGCGGGGATCGGCACCGATCATCAGGGCACTGATGATCGGTGCCCTGATGATCGGTGCCCAGCAGTGCCACCCGCAAGTTCCGCCCACCTGTGCCCAGCAGTGCGCCCACTAGCTCTGCCCACCTGTGCCCAGCAGATCACCCACCTGTGACCAGCAGTGCACCCACCTGTGCCCAGCAGTGCACCCACCTGTGCCACTCTGCAGTGCCACCTACCTGTGCCCAGAAGTGCCACCTACATGTGCCCCAGCAGTGCCACCCACCTGTGCCCACCCACCTGTGCCCACCAGTGCCACTCACCTGTGCCACCCACCTGTGCCCACCCACCAGTGCTGCCCACCAGTGCCACCCACCAGTGCAGCCCAGCAGTGCTGCCAGTCAGTGGTGCCAGTCAGTGCCCAGCAGTGATGCCAGTCAGTGCCATCTATCAGTACCCATCATCAGTGTCACCTATCAGTGCCGCCTATCAGTGCTGCGTATTAGTGCCGCCTATCCGTGACACCTCATTAGTACTGCCTATCAGTGCCCTTTAGTGCTGCCTATCAGTGCCCATCAGTGCCGCCTATCAGTGCCCATCAGTGCTGCCTCATCAATGCACATCAGTGAAGGAGAAAAAATGCCTGTTTGAAAAATTTTATAATAGAAACAAAGAAACTTTTTTTTTTTCTCTAATTTTTTGCACTTTTTTATTTATAGCGCAAAAAGTAAAGCGCCCAGTGGTGATTAAATACCACCAAAAGAAAGCTCTATTTGTGAGAAAAAAATGATCAAAATTTCATATGGGTACAATGTTGCATGACCGCGCAAATGTCAATCAAAGTGCGGCAGCGCTGAAAGCTGAAAATTGGCCTGGTAAGGAAGGGGGTAGAAGTGCCCGGTAGGCAAGGGGTTAATTGTGGATAATTATATATATATATACCAAACATAAAATCGAATGTAAATAATAAAGGATAATTAAAATAGAAAGTTATAAAGAACCGTACCAAAAAAATTAAGAATATACACAAATATATATAAAGTTCAAAGGTGCATAAACACCAGGTGGTCCAACGATTTTTCAAACGTGCATGTGATATGGTGGATGTGCAGACAACCAATGGGAAATAATCCTTAACCCCCCCGGCGGTATTCCTGAGTGTTGCTCGGGGTAAACTTTCAGTATCAAAAGCGGTAACTTCAAGCTACACTCGGGAATACACTGCAGCGCTGCTCTGGGATCCCTCGATCACTTACCTTGTCCTGCGCTCCCGCGATGTCCCTCCTGCAGTGTCCCCGGCAATGTCCTCCGGCTGATGCCGGCATCTGTCTTCCGGGTTCCGTCCCCTGTGAGCGTCGGGACGTACGAAGGACGGAACTGGCGGGAAATTTAAAAATGTTAAAAAAGTGACATTCACTAAATACACTAAAATCACATAGTATAACATTCCTGTATCAAACCATTTCACATACATTGTGTCCCGAGTGCTTTGTCCGGCGCCCTGCCTGCATTTTTACCGCCCTTTCTGCCTGGAAAACTGAGAAACGTCCATGGCGTCCAAAAAGCGTCCCTTTAGGTCAGACGCGGTTTTAGACCGGCTAGAGAACAGCGATAGTAAATCAGAACCACTTGCAGAATTGAGTGATAATGATTGGTGGGGGAAATTCCTCATCAGACACTGAAAACGATTCTGTGACTGAGCTCAGCGATGGGCGAACTTGGCGCTATATTTCACATTTCAGTGTTTTTGGTTTGATTATATTATTGAATGACATTTATTATTTTTATAGTATTATTATTTATGATTATTTATTATATTATAATTTATGATTTCGTGTTTCAAATTTTATCCTCCCGGATGTTTACTAGACTCTTGTCCGGACAGATTTCAGCGAGTTATTTCTAAAAAATGACAGGCCGACAATTAAAAAAAACGACATATTTCCATGCAAAAAAATGTACCACTATGAGCACAGAAATATGGACACAATCAGACCGCTAGGGAGGTTAAATGGCTGAATTGCCCCCTCACCTCCTTGCAGCGACCCAAACGGGCCAAAACGTTTGTAGGATCACAAAAGGATCCTCCACGATAAGAATCTCCTCTGCGGATGATATCCTCCCAAAAGCGGTGATATCCCCTTCAGTTATGTGCGTTTAGGGCAGCAGGATCCCCTCCAGGTATGTATAGAAAGTAATACAGCCAACTCACACTGTAATCACGGTAACACATAAAAGAGATCTTCCATAGTGTAAAACCAATATAAAAGATAGTGAGCGTTCTCATAAATATCAGCAGCTAGAACACTTTAGGCAACCACAATGCCTTAAAAATAACAATATAATTAGAGATGAGTGAATCGAACCAGGCGAAGTGGAATTCGATTCGAATTTCAGGAAAGATTTTTCCCGATCAGCCGGCAAAAGTGTCCCTGCAGAGAGCTCCGCTATTTCTGACAGTTCTCTGACAGTTCCTTCACATGTACAGCGGTTGAAACATTGTATCTATTTGTTTCCATTCAGGATACAGATGTTTTTATTCGGAAACAGATACAATGTTTCAACCGCTGTAAATGTGAAAGTCAGAGAACTGTCAGAAATAGAGGAGCTCTGCAGATACACTTTTTGCCGGTTTGGAATTATTCTTATTTTCATCCTACTTCTTCTTCTTCTTCTTCATCCTCATCCTCAGAAGAAGAAGAAGAAGAGGATGAGGATGAGGATGAAGAAGAAGAAGAAGAAGAAGTAGGATGAAAATAAGAAGAATTCCAAGCCGGCAAAAAGTGTATCTGCAGAGCTCCTCTAAGTGTATCTGCAGAGCTCCGCTATTTCTGACAGTTCTGTGACATTCCCTCCATACAGCGGTTGAAACATTGTATCTATTTGTTTCCTTCTCCTTCTTCTCATCCTTCTCCTTCTCCTTCTTCTCATCCTTCTTCTCATCCTTCTCATCTTCTTCTCATCCTTCTCCTTCTTCTCATCCTTCTCCTTCTCATTCTTCTTCATCCTTCTCCTTCTTCTCATCCTTCTCCTTCTTCTCATCCTTCTCCTTCTTCTCATCCTTCTCCTTCTTCTCATCCTTCTCCTTCTCCTTCTTCTCATCCTTCTCCTTCTCCTTCTTCTCATCCTTCTCCTTCTCCTTCTTCTCATCCTTCTCCTTCTTCTCATCCTTCTCCATCCTTCTCCTTCTCCTTCTCCTTCTTCTCATCCTTCTCCTTCTTCTCATCCTTCTTCTCATCCTTCTCCTTCTTCTCATCCTTCTTCTCATCCTTCTCCTTCTTCTCATCCTTCTTCTTCTTCTCATCCTTCTTCTTCTCATCCTTCTCCTTCTTCTCATCCTTCTTCTCATCCTTCTCCTTCTTCTCATCCTTCTCTTCTCATCCTTCTCCTTCTTCTCATCCTTCTCCTTCTTCTCATCCTTCTCCTTCTTCTCATCCTTCTCCTTCTTCTCATCCTTCTCCTTCTCCTTCTTCTCATCCTTCTCCTTCTCCATCTTCTCATCCTTCTCCTTCTCCTTCTTCTCATCCTTCTCCTTCTCCTTCTTCTCATCCTTCTCCTTCTCCTTCTTCTCATCCTTCTCCTTCTCCTTCTTCTCATCCTTCTCCTTCATCTCATCCTTCTCCTTCTCCTTCTTCTCATCCCTTCTCCTTCTTCTCATCCTTCTCCTTCTTCTCATCCTTTTCCTTCTCCTTCTTCTCATCCTTCTCCTTCTCCTTGTCCTTCCTCATCTCCAAGGGCATTTAAATTAAAGGTACAGTGTTCTGCACTAATTTAAAGGCTCTCTGAAGCCTAGAAACCCTTTTAATAAGTTAAATTCGTAGCGAATTAATTCGCATCGAATCGAATTTCTTCCTCAAATTCGGCAAATCAGCCGAATCGAATTTTTGAATAATTCGCTCATCTCTAAATATAATCTTAAAACAACAGAGTGCAGCGCTTAGCAAGGTAAAAGAGTCAATAAGATAATAATCAAGTATCCACAATGATTCACTGTAGAAATACGAATTCCCACGGCCTCCACTCTGTCGAATAACAGAAATGCGCACTCACCGGAAACGCATGGGTTATGCGCATGTGTGATCATGCATCACAGGCAATGGACATGTAGGGAACTGTTATTTTATACACTAGTTGTGGTTTGTTTACATCCATATACAGCCACTACCTAGAGGTCCCATTACAGACAAGTCCCTAGGTGTGCTTCCTGCCCCTACAAGGAGGTCAAGAAACCCCAGGATGTTATATACCGTATTTGCCGGCGTATAAGACGACTTTTCAACCCCTGAAAATCTTTTGAAAAGTCGGGGGTCGTCTTATACGCCGGTATACGGCGAGCCGGTGTCAGGGCGGCACTTTTTCAAGGGGTGGCGCCGCCCCCCCTCCTCCTCCAACGGACACACCAAGTACAGGGGTGGGCAGAGGGGCTGCTGTACCTTACCTGGCTCCGGTCCCGGTCCCACGACGATCCGGTCCAGGAAGCGCGGCTGCTCCTTCTTTCAGTTCGGCCACTCGATGGTTCCGCCACCCGCTCGGCTCCGCCTCCTCACCGGTGATTGGGCGCCAGCACTGGAAAGGCACACAGGCGACCAATCACCGGTGAGGAGGCGGAGCCGAACGGCCCCGCGAAAATCAAGCGGCCGAACTGAAAGAAGGAGCAGCCGCTCCTCTCCCCCACTGACACTAATGATGGGGCACTATTCCTCCTCCACACTGACACCAACGATGAGGTACTGTTCCTCCCCCACTGACACCAACGATGGGCCACTATTCCTCCTCCCCACTGACACCAACGATGGGGCACTATTCCTCCCCCACTGACACCAATGATGGGGCACTTTTCTCCCCACTGATACCAATGATGGGGCACTATTTCTCCCCCACTGACACCAATGATGGGGCACTATTCCTCCCCCACTGACACCAACGATGGGGCACTATTCCTCCTCCCCACTGACACCAATGATGGGGCACTATTCCTCCTCCCCACTGACACCAATGATGGGGCACTATTCCTCCTCCCCACTGACACCAATGATGGGGCACTATTCCTCCTCCCCACTGACAATGATGGGGCCAATGATGGGGCGCGTTGGAAGAGGGGTAGTCTTATACGGCGAGTATAGCTCAAACCCTATATTTTAACAGGAAAAGTAGGGGGTCGTCTTATACGCCGGCAAATACGGTAGTTGTTTTCCAGGAAGTATCAGGCAGAGGGTGTCAGCCTGCCATGTGCTGTGTATCTGGGGAGAACTGTATGGGGATTCTGTGAGTAATGATCCAGATTAACAAGGCTGCTATCTATGTAGTTGTTACTGAAGCAGATTAGGTCTGCCTGTTATATTTCAACTTCTGTATTGGAACCCTAATACCTCTGTAAGAGAGAGAGACTTGAGGTTCATTATCTCATTATTCTATTTACACTGCAGAATCCTTATAGTTGTCTATATATATATATATAGATCCGTGTTGTCACCTGCATAAGACTGTCAGGGGAACTTTCTGTTAATTGCAGTGTATCTTTGCAGCCTCTTGGCTTAAAGCCATAGCACCCTTATTGGTCTGGATCTCCCTTTAGCTGGGATTAGCATAGGGAGCGTTGGATAGATTAGGCTAGAGGTAGGTTAGGCATCCGACGGTCACTTAGACAGATAGAGGCCCGGTTGCAGTGACAGCCCAGTTTAGGGATAGGGACTAATGCAGGCCATAGATGGGGAGAAAAACTGCAGATTTTTCTTTTAAAAAACGAAAAATCGGTTGTTCAAGTGGCCGACGTTACCATCAATGGTAAAAAAAAATCGGCCGATTTTCTACCCATCTAGAGCTGGCAAAAAGTGTCCCTGCAGAGAGCTCTGCTATTTCTTTGACAGTTCTCTGACAGTTCCTTGACATTTATAGAAGTTGCAACAATGTATCTATTTGTTTCCATTTAGGATACAGATGTTTTTATTCAGGAAACAAATAGATACAATGTTTCAACCGCTGTAAATGTCAAGGAACTGTCAGAGAACTGTCAGCAATAGCGGAGCTCTCTGCAGATACACTTTTTGCTGTACTGGAATTCTTCTTATTTTCATCCTACTTCTTCTTCTTCATCTCATCCTCTTCTTCTTCTTCATCCTCATCCTCTTCTTCTTCTTCTTCATCCTCATCCTCTTCTTCTTCTTCTTCTTCTTCTCTTCTTCTTCTTCCTCATCCTCTTCTTCATCCTCATCCTCTTCTTCTTCATCATCCTCATCCTCTTCTTCTTCTTCATCCTCATCCTCTTCTTCTTCATCATCTTCTCTTCTTCTTCTGCATCCTCATCCTATTCTTCTTCTTCATCATCATCCTCATCCTCTTCTTCTTCTTCATCATCATCCTCATCCTCTTCTTCTTCATCCTCATCCTCCTCTTCTTCTTCTTCTTCTTCTTCTTCTTCTTCTTCTTTTTCTTCTTCATCCTCATCCTCTTCTTCATCCTCATCCTCTTCTTCTTCTTCTTCTTCATCCTCATCTTCTCTTCTTCTTCATCCTTCATCCTCTTCTTCTTCTTCTTCATCATCCTCATCCTCTTCTTCTTCTGCATCCTCATCCTATTCTCTCTTCATCATCATCCTCATCCTCTTCTTCTTCATCATCATCCTCTTCTTCATCATCCTCATCCTCCTCTTCTTCTTCTTCTTCTTCTTCATCCTCATCCTCTTCTTCATCCTCATCGTCTTCTTCTTCTTCTTCATCATCATCCTCATCCTCTTCTTCTTCTTCTTCGTCTTCTTCATCATCCTCATCCTCATTCTTCTTCTTCTTCTTCTTCATCTTCTCCTCATCCTCTTCTTCTTCCTCATCCTCTTCTTCTTCATCATCCTCATCCTCTTCTTCATCATCATCCTCTTCTTCTTCATCCTCATCCTCTTCTTCTTCTTCTTCATCCTCATCCTCTTCTTCTTCTTCATCCTCATCCTCTTCCTCTTCATCCTCTTCTTCTTCCCTCTTCTTCTTCTTCATCCTCTTCTTCATCGTCTTCCTCTTCTTCTTCTTTTTGTCTTCCTCTTGCAGGTCACTGCTCATGCGCAGATTTTTTATCGGTAAAAAATCGGCCGATTTGCCCACTAATTGCCGCGAAAATCGGCCGATCGGCAAAATCGGACGATTTTTTTAAAACTTTACCGAAAAAAAAAAAAATGGCCAAAATACCGAAAAACGGCCGACCAAATCGCTCACTAACGATCCGAAAATCGGCCGATTTTATTTTCGGCCGAAAAATCGGCCGATTTTCGACCCATCTATGGCCTGCCTAAGAGTAAGGAGAGATAGGACATTTTATCCTTTTAGGTGATGCATCGCTGATCTTCAGACAAGCCGTGCAATCATCCGCATAGAACGTGTTACTTGGACGCCATCGCAGCATCTGAAGTGGAAGCGTGCATCTTTTTGACTCTCACCTCTCCAGGGGCCCCGGCACCCGGACTGCACTATAACCCATGGTTGGAGGTATTCTGTATACTACATATACCCGGGGATAACTGCAACCTCCCAATTTATGGTCAATGGTCATTCCTGAATGTTCTTCTTATGCCTCCTGTTTTATGTGGCTGCTTTATATAAACTTTGCATTCATCTCATACAGGTGGGTGACATGTTTCCATGTTAGAGATATAAGCTGGGGGCATTAATACTGCTATGTATAGTTACTGTAAGTTGTCTGCCTGTTACATTCCTAGACAGGGGGGGGTCCCCTCAATTGCAGGATCCCTATTCTAGGTGGAGGCACTGCCATTTGTATTATCACAGCCCCCTCTTCCATATAGCGAAGGCTCAGGATTGCCTCCTCATATACAGGTTAGCGCCATAGCTTGTTTGGTGTGGGCCATTTCACATAACCCCCCCCCCAAAACAGGGCTACAGATACATCAGAGGTTAGGCAGCAGGCATCTCCCTCACGGTGGGTCATCACAGACTCTTTAGTCAGGTCCAGGGGGTCCCCTTAAGGTCAGCCAGGTGCTCCATGCAAAAAACTTCCTCTCAGGGTGGCAAAGTGCTTTCTCTGTGGGGATGATAGCTCCACGCAGGAGCCCCAGAAGACAAATGCCAGAGATAGTGTAGTATGTCCAAAAGGTAAATATTTATTTATAAAACAGTCTCCCCTCTGATGATGTGCCTGTAGCACGAAAGGCCTAAGGAGGAGCTGCGCAGAGCGTGACGTCATTCCACCGCCGGAGCCACGAGGAGGCCCGGCGGCCATCATTACTGGGGTCAGTACTGCTGCATATCTATGTTTTTGCATGATGTATAATATGCAGCAGTACTGACCCCAGTAATGATGGCCGCCGGGCCTCCTCGCGGCTCCGGCGGTGGAATGACGTCACGCTCTGCGCAGCTCCTCCTTAGGCCTTTCGTGCTACAGGCACATCATCAGAGGGGAGGCTGTTTTATAAATAAATATTTACCTTTTGGACAAACTACACACTATCTCTGGCATCTGTTTTTTTAAACAAATGGGGCTCCTGCGTGGAGCTATCATCCCCACAGAGAAAGCACTTTGCCACCCTGAGAGGAAGTTTTTTGCATGGAGCACCTGGCTGACCTTAAGGGGACCCCCTGGACCTGACTAAAGAGTCTGTGATGACCCACCGTGAGGGAGATGCCTGGCTGCCTAACCTCTGATGTACCCATTGCCTGTGATGCATGATCACACATGCGCATAACCCATGCGTTTCCGGTGAGTGCGCATTTCTGTTATTTGACAGAGTGGAGGCCGTGGGAATTCGTATTTTTACAGTGAATCATTGTGGATACTTGATTATTATCTTATTGACTCTTTTGCCTTGCTAAGCGCTGCACTCTGTTGTTTTAAGATTACATAGTGTAAAACCGTTTAATATAGAAATTAATTTGAACCAATTTCCCACTCACTTTGTATAAAATAAACTCAAGCATTAAAACCACATGCTATGGGTGTACTTTGTAAACAAAACAGGATGAATGAGCGCAACTAGAAAGGAAAATAGAATAAGAAGTTGCTAGCATAAAAGGTATACCTCAGCACCTCAGTATCAAAAATTCAAATATTAGATATTGAGGGATTCCCCTGACATGTTTCGTGCCCACCGCACGTTTTCAAAGGGGTAAAAAATCACTATACCGTTACTACGTGGAATACTGATTATTAACCGCATGCCGCCCAGGCACTGTAGATATACGGCGGCAGGGCGGCACACACAGGCAAAACCACGTTTTAAAACGCATGTTTTGTAAACAAATAGGGGGCGCACGCGAGGCGCGCTGCCGCCCTATTTGTCCTGTGGATCACCGCCGCAGACGTCAGTTGCCGGGTCACAGCCGCTCATTAGCAGCCAAGTCCCGGCGATCGGCGGTAAACGGTGACAGAGAGCACAGCTGCAGTAGCTGTGCTGTCTGTCACTTCCCTGTCAGCTGGATGATGAGCTGATCGAGAAAGAACAGTTTCACTTTCTCGATCAGCCTTGTCCCGCCCAGTACACACCCCGCCCCGCCCCCTAGTAAAACACTCCCCCTCACTCCTATAACCCTTCCCTGCTAAAGTTAACCCCTCCCTCCCCAGTGCCATTAGTACAGTGTCAGTGTTTTTTTTTGCACTGATCACTGTATTAGTGTTTTTGGGGATGTCAGTGACCCCAAGTCAGTACCCCCCAATGTCAGAATGTCCGCCGCAGTCCCGCAGTCCCGCCATAAGTCGCTGATCGCCGCCATTATTAGTATAAAAAAAAAACTAAAAATCCCAGTATCTTTCCCGCCATTTGTAAACGCTATAACTTTCACGTAAACCAATTAATTTACACATATTGGGGTTTTTTTTTAGCAAAGACATTCGCAGAATGCATTTTGGCAGAAATTTATGACTAAATTTGATTTTTGCATTTTTTTTTTACAGGACATGTTTTATAGCAAAAAGTCCAAAATATTGTTTTTTTTCCCTCAAAATTGTCAGCCTTTTTTTTTTATAGCACAAAAAATAAAAAACCGCACAGGCGATCAAATACCACCGAAAGAAAGCTCAATTTGTGAGGAAAAAAAGGATGTAAATTTCATTTATGTACCATATTGCATGACCGCGCAATTGTCCGTTAAACTAGCGCAGCGCTGTATAGCAGAAAAATGGTGTAAATTGCAGTATCTATACCATAGTTTGTAGACGCTATAACTTCACACAAAGCAATCAATATACACTTAATGGGATTTTTTCTACCAAAAACATGGAGCAGAATACATTTTGGCCTAAATTTATAACCAACTTTGAGTTTACTATATATTTTTTTATAGCTGAAAATAAAAAATATTGTTTTTCTTCAAAATTTTTGGTGTTTTTTTGTTTATAGCGTGAAAAATAAAAAGCGCACAGGTGATCAAATACCACCGAAAGAAAGCTCTATTTGTGTGAAAAAAAGGACGTAAATTTTGTTTGGGTGCAGCATTGCATGACCGCGCAATTATCAGTTGAATTAGTGCAGCACCGAGTAGCAAAAAGAGGCGTGGTCATTAAGGGGGGTAAATCCTCAGGAGGGGGAGGGGTTAAGGTATATAACCTAACAAGATCAGCTATTGGCATCACCTATTGAATGTCTGGTACCAACATAAAGAGTCTGATAAGTTCAGCTAGTGGAAGACTTTTACTCTGGGACTGACTTAAAGCTGATGAACATTTCTACAAACATACAAAAATATCACTCTGTATGTTAATATTTAGCGCTGCATATCTAATATTTGAATTTATGCGTGTACTTGCATGGGTTTTGGGTGTAGCAAGATGGCATCCGTGCCAGAAATACGTCACCACGTTCCTACACCTTACGTCCCGTTATCACGTGACTTCCTCACCCGGCGTATGATCCTCCATGGGGTGACTCTGTGTACGTAGCAATGGCCTCTGTCTGGAGTCTAAGCTATCGCCCCCCCCCCCAACACACAACATATAAACAGCGATTGAAAGCAAACCATCAGACCTCTGAGCGAGGAGAGTTCTGCCGAGGCCCTTCGTTGGGGATCCACTCAAACTTTGACTTTGACTTTTATTAACTTGTAAACCATCAACATTCCATAACCAACCAACAACCCGACACCATCCATCATGGTGAGATCTTCACTGGAACGTTGGTAAGAAATTCTGAGAAAAAAAAAAATGTTTCGTCAGAGCGATCGATGATGCCGTCGTTGGGTCAGATGATTTTCATTGGAAACGTTTCACCCCGACCCGCTACTGGAA